TACAATTAAGTACTCTTTTGCACTTCTCAAATAATAGATAGATTTTTCCATTTCCTTAAAAATTTGCTTTCTAATTATTTACAAAGTTTCTATTTTAAAAAAATATATTAGTTTTTGAAAACGTCCACATATGATTTTTAACATCATATTAAATCATTCCACATCAACATCTTAATTATATATCTAAGAAAATGTCATAATTTCAAAAAAACCGTATCTCTCAAAATTTTTGTTGATAATTGGAAACTAAGACATGATTTCTTTATTTCATTAGCATATAACTTCATGTAATTTTCAAATTTTTGTGGATTTAATTTTCTATTTCAATTTTAGATACTATAGATTAGGAAATTTCGTTAATTTTTAAAAGTCTTAAATATTAAAAAAAATAAATTAATTTCTACAAAAAGGAAAATAATCCCAATGGAAAAGGACATTACCTTCATTCTCAATTAACTTCAATAGAGATTAGAAAATTTTCGTCATTGTGAAGTATACATCTAAGTTATAAATAACACATAAAACGATCAAAATTTTATATAGATCAACCATTCTCTTCAATGAAAAAAACTTTGTCTTCTTTAAGATAGATTGATATAAATCTTATTAAGTTACTATGTCTCTTCCACTTCCAGCTCTTTCTTCCTCCGTCTAGCCACCTTCTCACTTGGATCTGGACAAACTTCAGATAGGTTTCAGTAACAAAGAAGTCATTGTTAGGGTCATCCACTTATGGGAAGCAAGAAATCCGACAAAAAGTGGCTTATTTATGGGTATTGAACTCCTCCTCATCGACGAAGGTAGTTCAAAATTTTATTTACCTTTCAATATCTCAAAATTAAACAACTAAACTCTCTCTAACATGAATTTATTTTTCCCATCAACTGTGATCCAAGCATTCATAGCACCTAACCGAATAACCTGCTMTGAGACAAAGGTTAAGGCTGATGTCATCTACAAGATCAAAAACTTCTTGATCGTTGACAACAAGATGAACTATAGGGTATCTTCTCACAAGTTCATACTCAAATTCACCCAGCAAACAAGGTTGAGCAAAAAATTTCAGAATCCCTTCTTTTGACGAGTTCGAAAAATTAACCGATCTGAACCAAGATATGTATGGTAAATATTTATTTACTCCATGTTTATATTTTATTTATAACATCAACTCCACATATGTTTCATCTAGATGTCATTGGGAAACTAATCCTCATCAACTACGAGAATTTCATCGATCCATTTCCAAAGAAATACACCTYCAACTGAAAGAGGAAGCACGTTTTTCCTTTATTCTCCCACATTGCATACAAATTTCGTTAACTTACTAACCGATATGTATTCCTAGGGGACCGTCGTTCGTGTATGTCTTTGGGAGAATGTTGCTGCCTTTATCCAGAAAAAGTTGATGATAAGTGCAGTCAATCCTGTTGTACTCCTTGTCACTACTGTGAATCCAAGAACATTCAGAGATGGTTTGTACTCTCAAACCTATAATTACCAATAATAATATAAAATTTATAAGCTTACAACCATATTTTGTTTGTCTAATGTAGGTATGTTAATTATTTCCTCCATGTCTTCCACTCGGATTTTCTTCGACAACGATGTTGAACCAACGACTGAATTCTTGACATGGTATGTAAACCCGTCCATATACTTATCTACACTCATGTTACATTAGTAACAACTATTTCTTTTCTCAGGTTGGGTAAAAATGTCAATAACTCTGTTATGGTGAAGAACTTCGCCTCAGAGGTTACAAAGTCAGAAACTGTAACTATTGCTGAACTATTGTAAACAAGTGTAATGTTGTATCTAGAAAATAGAAATTCATAACGAAAAAGCTAAATTTCTTTTAAAAGTTTATATAGTGTGGGTATAGAATAGACGTATTCATATCGTTTTCATTGGGAAAGCCTTTACAGATAAACCTTATATGCGATTGATCTTCACTGCAATCATGGACAGGCAACTCGGTCAACTTCTGAGTTTTATGTTTTTATGGGDTTTTTTTGTGTGCAACGGTTCTAAATTTTATGGTTGGTCATACTATCATATATTATGCTAATTTCATTAGTACCTTACGGTTTATTTTATTCTTTCTCGATCTACTAAAGAAACTAAAACTCCACTCCTTATCTAACATTAAATAATTTTCCAGGCTTTACAATAGAAGAAGGAAGCAGGTACGAGCTAGCCAAACAATAAACGCTACCTCAGTTAAGCATAACACATTTGCAAGAAAATCTTACAGAAATACTCAAATCCAACCACCAGTTAAAAAGTAGTTCACACAGTAGAGAAGATATCTATGAAAATCAGCATTAAAATAATAGCGACAGAAGATGACAATTCAGAGGAAAAACCAAAATCAAATCTTGTGATACGTATTTTAATGTAATGTAATATAATACCACATCATTCTTATGGTGCTGATTAATAATTTGAATGCAATGTATAGGCAACACATCTAGACAAAAGAAATGCTCCTATATGGATGCAAGTGAATTTTCTTTCGCATAAATTGACACATGAGCACAATCGTGCATTGCCTAACACAACAGAGATAGTTAGTGTGATACAATAGACTATCTCATTAACATATGTATTGGTCAAATAAGTAATTTTTCAATTTCTTGGAAAGAATACTAAAAGAGATTTGAAAACGAAAAAACACTAAATAATTAGAAACAAAAAATAAGAGAAAAATTAAAAAGATATATAATCAGTGTATTTATATAATTAAGTGTCGAGTTGAGGTATCAGTTTGTAACTAAGACGACGTAGCAACTGTCACAACTTTCGTAATGTTTGACCGTGATGCAAGAAAACTAATTAACTGATATGAGAGCTATATATGTGTTGGAAGCACATTTGTATGTAATCTCTTTTCCTCAAAAGATTCTTATATAGAGCATTTTCTACGATTATTAATAATTTTTTCTTTGGCAGGGTGATGATGGTGCCATTGAAAATCAAAGTTGTAGGTCGCACTTTTAAATTTTAGGTGATAGTTACACCATATAATTTCAATGATGCTCGCCAAACCATCACAATTACACCATCCAAGAAGAAATCAATGTTGGTGATGAAACTCTCCAAGAAGACGTCAATGGTGCTCCAAGAAGAAGTCAATGGTGGAGACCATGACATTAATCGACGAAACATAGCAAAAACATCTAGATCAACTGCACTATATGAAGACAGTGGCACAAAAAAGGTGACGCCGGTGACATGACTGACATCAACCACAGAAAAAAACGCATCCGTCACGTGTGACTTACATACGACATCAACCGCTTTATATTAATGTCGCTTGAAATTTAGATTTATCAATACTTTGKTCAAGGATATGCCACAACATGATCTAAACATTATATATATAATTCTTCACACACGCAGAAAATTACCGATACAAATTAGTATTTATGGTAAATTAATTATTTAATTATCTACGATTGTTATCCACATGTGACAACGTCTGCTAATTTAAAAATTAGGAAGTACAAATTTATATTAAACCTATTTATAAAACAAACCCACGCGTAAAGTGGGTGTGGGTACAAAACCTAGTAAGGTGCTATAAAAGCCCAAAATCAAATCTTACAAGATAAGGTAAAAATCAAAAATATTCTGAAAAGTTTTGACATTTATTGGTCAATGCTGAAGCATCTGCCTGAGACTAGCGATCCTAAACCCAAACTCTTTTGGAATTTACAGCAATGAAACACTGAGCAGATATGGTCCATAACTTCAAAACTCGATGAGCCTAGGCATCATTCCTCGCTCCTCGAAGGAGCCTCTGCACAAGTAAGAGAAGAACAAACACATTTTATGAAATGGTCACTATTGATTTCCTCTGTTGCAGTGTAAATTGAGGGTTCATAATTACTACCATTCAGTTGGGATTTCGTTTTACTGCGCACGCCCTCTGGAGTAATCTATGTTGAAAAGCATGTTCCTGCGGTTCTCTGATCCCATCCTTATCTGAAACTTCTTGGCCAATGACTCCACATGATCATCGGTTTCATAGTCTAATTCCCTGATACATCGCCGTCGCAGCTTTTTCAATGTCTCCTTGGAAGGTTCAAATCCAGCATTGATCTGTTTAGTTGAAACATGTATTAGTTTCTCATATCCATGTAAACAACACACATCTTTCTCTCATAGCCGTTAGGTTCGTTTCTCAATTCTGGTTTACCATGTCATCAATGACGGTCAGGGCTGATTTGGGATCCCGGTTAATGAGATGAGCATCAACCAGCATTGAATACGTCCGGGGATCAGGTTTAACACCTAAGCTAACCAGATGCTCGTATACTCTTGTAGCTTCAGATGTCTGCAACGCAAAAAAGCCGAGTCTTTAGGCCTAATTGTTCATCCATAGGAATACAAAATATTAGAGAACGAGAGATTTGACATGGAAACAGCACCTTCTTGACCTTTCCAAATGCATATATTAAAGCATTGTACGAATCAATGTTAGGAGTCAGCCCAAAAGAAGCACTTATTGCATCAAATGTCTGATAAGCACGATCCAAATCCCATGTGTTTGCGCAGCCAAGAATTATACAGTTTAGAGCAGCAACAGACTTATATGGAGTATCACCTTGACTCAATGTCTCCAACTGGAAGTATACCTGGTGGATTATGTGGCATTGCAAGGTCAGATACGCAAAACATTATATCTACCTAGTACCAACCATAACTTTCAATTGTATTAAGATTCAGACCACGATGCTCCACTTTGATAAACAAATTTCCAGAATTGTTCTATTAATTTCTAAAGTTTCCTACGTCTACTGGTATATTTATTAGCCAATTGACCCTACGCTAATTCTTGTTGCGAAGAAAACTAAGAATTCGCAGAATATCGACCCTTAAAAAGATGCTGAGATATACCTCATCCAGTGTCTCAAAGCCTTTCTTAGAGCAGGCCACAACCAGCGGATATAAGGATGTAAAAGGTGAAAGCAACTCCTCAACAACTTCTTTCTCAGAGTCTGCATATGCGGATTCAAATTCATCAAGCGCGATGAAAGCTTTAAGCAGATTCCCCAACGATGCATAAGCATTTATCTTTGCAATGTAAGATGCAGGGTTGGCTGCCTTTTTCCCACGCAGAGATCGTTTCAGAATCATCCATGATCCATCTACTAAAGTTGAATCGCATGTCCTAGCAGCAGTTGCAAGAGCTGCTACTACCAGCCCTTCATCAACAGAAAGTAAAACCGAGGGTCTAGCCATTTCGCCCCTAGTGATCCACTTGAACATAAATTCAAACGCATTAAATGCTAATATGCTATTATCCTCTTGAATTGCAACTTCTGCCATATAAGTACACAGTATCCAGCTAGGACATAGGGACTTGTTCCGATCAACAGCCTGCAAAACAAGAACACAATCACAATCAGTAAAAGGGACATAAAAAGCAAAATATAAACCAAAGACAACAAAAATTCATCAGTACCTTACACCTCTCGATGATAGAAACCAGTGTATCTGTCCTACCTCTGGCTACACAACTACGAACACAATCACTAAAAACTGTGGTTGATAACATATAACCAGATTTTAGCGCCATGTCCATAAGTTTCATGGCTTCGTCATTCTTCCCAGTCAAAAACAGCATTCCAATAACCAAATCATATGATTCATCATCCGGAAGAGATTCTTTCCCCGACAGCAGCATCCTGATGGAAGTACATAGAGCATGTAAATTTCTAATCTTTTGCACTAATTCTAAGAG